GACTCCAGTTGTTCCTCGTCTTCTGATAGTGAGGATGACAAGAAGAAAAAAAAGAAGAAAAAGGCAAAGAAGAAGAAAGACGAGGTTTGAAGCTTTCTGTTGATCCTTATGGACTTGGGTTTTATGTCCAGATGTACTGACATTAAACATTTCTCCACTGCTACAGGACTCTTCCTCATCTTCTTCATCATCTTCAGAGAGTGAAGATGACAAGAAGAAGAAGAAGAAAAAGGCAAAGAAGAAGAAGACTAAGAAGAAGAAGGACAAGGTTTGGATCTTTCTGTTGATCCTTCTGGACTTGTGTTTTATGTCTGGATGCATTGATATTAAAGTTCCCTCCTCCGCTACAGGACTCCAGCTCCTCATCGTCTTCATCTTCTTCTGATAGTGAAGATGACAAAAAGAAGAAGAAGAAGAAGAACAAGAAGAAAAAAGCTAAGAAAAAGGTAACAGTTTCAGTCGGTTCAGAATTTTGTCCTGTCCATTCTGTTACTGACCTACTGATATCTTTTCTAGTGTTCCAGCTCCTCTAGCGATAGCTCTTCTTCCTCATCCTCTTCTTCCTCTGACAGTGATGCCAAGGTGAGATAAGCAGCAACTTCAAACTTGTACACTGCCTGCCTATTGTAGTGAATAATCTGGAATACCTGTTTTCTTTGTGTAGAAGAAGAAGAAAAAAAAGAAGGTGAGGATGTTCAATTAGTTTTTCTCACCATTCCAGATTTTTCTTCTTGGTTCACTTGGATATTTTTTCATTAAAGAAAAGTAGCAAACAAACTGTCGTTTCTAATCAAATTGTATTTAAATGAATCCAATTGGATTTAATCCCTTTTTTTGGTCCAGGATTCTTCATGTTCCAGTGATGATAGCAAAAAGGATAAGAAGAAAAAGAAGGTATGTTTGACTGTTTTGTGATTTACAAATGTTTTTAGGAAAGGTGGATGATGGGACTTTTGATCTTTGTGTGTGTGTGTGATCAGGACTCCAGCTCCGATAGTTCCAGCGACAAAGAGAATAAAAAGGAGAAAGAAAAGGTATATTTGTTAAAGAATGTGAATATGATCCGATTAAACCCTGTGATGACTTTTTGTTGATCGGCATTGCTTACCTTTTTCAGAGTCCAGTGTCATCGGAGGACAAACCTGAAAAGGAGGAGACGACTGTAAGCTTCAAATAAACATGAGTGGTTATGCCGTGTGCGTGGCTTCTTAATCCCGCTGTTGCTGATTGCTTGCAGGAAAGCGCTGCCGGTGAGGGAGGCGGCGAGCCAAAAACGGGGACCTCGGGCTCAGGTGGACTCTCGGCCTCCAGCGGCAGCAGCTCCAAGCCAAGTGACACCCCCGCCGTCTCCTTCATGTCCCTCCCTTCCAAACCCAAGCTGGATCCTCTGGCTTCTTCAGCAGCCTCCAAGCCGTCAGTCTCTGCCCCCTCACTGAGCACTGGAAGCAGGGTCTATGTTCGCAGGCCTCCCAGCCCCATGGAGTCCCTGATGGGGAGCCCAAGGAGGAATGGAGACGGAGCAACACGCCCTGCTACCCACCTCTCCTCAACTGACCTCCTTAAAGGCCCCAGGCCTTACCAGCCATGAGGTGTCACAAACAGAGAGTTACCTAATAAAGCAAATTTTTGAACACCAATCATTAAAAAAAGCAAATTACGTGACATTCAAGGTAGCTATGATGATGTCTGTGGGTCCTTGCTGGGATTGAATTATGAATTATATTTTCTTTCTCAAATGATCTAATGGGATAGTTAATATATTTGATTTGACCTCTTTTGGAAAACAGGAGCAGAGAAAGCCCTGTTTACAAATAAACATTTTCAATCACGTCCAAAAAAAAAAAAAAAAAAAAAAAAAGAATGTTAAGGGTTGCTTTGGGGGAATAATAAGAATAATTGAATTATTTCTTTTTGTGTTTGTAGTTATTAAAGACTTTCGCCAATAACCTTAATACTGTCTCATGCCTTGCTTCAAATAACATCTGTCTAGCAGTCTACACTACACACACACGGCATGTTTTGTTTTTTCCTTTTGAGAAAAATAGTTTCCCGTTTTGCAAAGGAAGCAACAAGCTGACACCAAAAACTTTTAAATGAGAAACTGCAATAACTATTTATAGAACATACAACAAATATGTCAATATGCCACAATGACCTTTCCAAATCTACTTTACAGTTAGCCAGTTGGTAAAGGCAGACCATGTACAATCATACTGATGCATTTTACATAGGAGGCTGTATGTCACCTTCTCATAAGAGGCCAGTTCTACCTTAGTTGTTTTCGAAAATTACTTCCATAATCTTCTTCCACCAATCTTGAAAGCAGTGCAGGTCCAGAGAATATGTGGAATGGATGCTCCGTCCTCATTACATCTCCAGCAAGTGTCTTTAGGAATCAAATTCCATTTATGAAGTTGTTGAGGGGTTCTATGCCATCTGTGAATGCCATCTGTTAATTGAATAAACTTGTTACTAATTTCTTTATACATTTTGTCATGTGTACATTTTGTAAACATGAGTGCCAATCACCCTCAGAGATGTCCAAGGCCATGTCTTCCGTCCAGTGTTTTTTAACCTTACATATTGGGTCGCCCAATTGAATAAGTAACATTTTGTATATGTTAAAGGTAGTACCTTTGCCAATGGCCAGCTTGCAAAGCAAGATTTCTACAGGGCTGTCCGAAGGGCATCTGAGAAAAATAATAAATTACAGAAAAGGATAGTTTTCATTATTTTCCCAAGTGCAGACTTGAGCGGTTACATATGGATTGTGTTTTACACTGTGCTCTGTGAAAATTCACGGCTTCTTTTTCACATGCACATATATTCTCATCCAACGCACCGGAAAACTGACAAGAGGACAAAAAAAGGCAAGTAATAACCTAGGGCGTCTATGACAGTTGGTCAGAAAGGGCAGCTGCTCCACATCGCTGTTCAATACTGCAAACCAAGAGAAATGTCGCCAGTGCTCTGGCAACACAACACCTATTTAAAGGACAGCCCATAAACCCGACCGCCGCTCTACAACAAGAGCCGTCGTATCATAAAAAAAGTGAATCAATTAGACAAAAGATGGACGAAGGGTTTTCAGAGAAGCTAGGAGCCCTCATCGGGCCACGGTAGCCCGCCTTTACACGGAGGAGTCTGGGTCCATCCCACCGCAGGTGAACTGCATTAGGTCATCAGGTGGTTCTCTTTCCCGGAAGTGTACCCGGAAGTACCACGTATTTGAATATGTATAACTATTATAACTATTTAAGATTTTCCTTGTCACTGGATAGTTGAGCAAAAAAATTGTTTCGTTTTGCAAAGGAAGTGATACCTAAAAACAGTAAATGCTACCTTTATGCTGCAGCCACCGAAAAAAAAAAAAAATTGCAGCAGCAAGTTGGATCACTTTTGTGGGGCGCGGTTTTGTGTTGCGTACTTTAGGTGTGGCCTCACAACTTTCCCTAAAGGCTGAAGAAGACAGGTCTAAAGCCACACGGTGTGGAAAGACACTAGGTCGGGATCGCCATGGATTTCGATCTGTCAGCAGGTACGTTTTTTAAAAAGAAAAAACAACTCCTTCACGTTTTTTCTAGTTTTCTTTAAACGATGCCAGATTGGTTACTCGGGTTTAACCGGGTGGGTGTGAGAGACTAAAGTAAACGTGTTAATGAGAGGCCGTGATAAGAGGCTCCATTTTTAAAGATGTTCAGCAGTCTTTGGTTCACAATGCTCTTTTATGTTCGGTGTTTGGATTGTGTTGCTGTTTCTGACCGCCGTCTCTCTTTTTTTGTGCAGCCGTAAATGAGGGAGAAGCGGTGAAGAAGGAGGATGCCCAGAAGGATGAGTTTAGCTTCCCCTGGAGCAAGGATAAGAGCAAGGATAAGGATAAGAGCAAGGATAAGGATAAGAGCAAGGATAAGGTAGCTCAACCAGTTTGTTTTCAAAGTGATGGCGTTGTCCCTTTGGTTCTCTTTGACAGATCTAATGAAAACCAGTGAACCTTCCTGATCTGTGACTCTTATATTCTTTCGCTCTTCGGTACAGCAGGCCACAGCAGGTGTAAATCTGACTCCCAACTTGATGAATTTCTTCTACAGACACATGATTTTGCCTTTTCTTTTTTCTCAGAGTGACAGCAAGCACAAGTCGGGTGACAAAGACAAGGACAAGTCTCACACTAAAGACAAGTCCACGGACGAACATGGCCACGAAAAGAAGAAAAAGAAGAAAAACAAATCGGAGAGGAAAGAAGGAGAACATGGAAGCTCTTCCTCTTCGTCCTCATCTTCATCCTCCAGCAGCGATGAGGTACATAACTCATCTTTTCTTTCCAGGGAACTTTTGCCTGTAGAAATCCCAAACCAGCCCGTTTAGTTTGAGCTCTTTCCTGTCAAATGCATCCTCAAGTTCCGCTTTGCTCAGTTTGGACGAATGAAGGGGGGAAAAATGCAGCAAAACAGGAGGCATACCTGTCCCACCTCGGTTCAAAGGCCAACCAAAGGTTGTCGGGTTGAACCCTGCGCACGTGAAACTTCCACAACAAGTTGTACAGGAAATGCTGCTTTTGATGACCGTTGACACACCGCACCCTCCTCTGTGTCTGTGTCTATTTTTAGAGCGATAAGCGTATACCTGTCCTCCAGCTCTCCATACAAATTAGTAAACCAGGACTTGCCCCAGAGCGGGGAGAGAAGGGTTTATGTCTTATAGCCACAGGCCAGTTGTGAATGAACTACTAAAGTTTGTAACATTCATTTGCCCCCTCCCAAAAAAAAGTCGTAGGGCTCATGCTGTTGCAAGGAGGTTCATACATTAAAGATGGCCGCCGTGGCACTTTGGATGGTCTTGAATAAATCATGTTTCCTTTCTGCAGTTAACAGCGTTGTCCCTTTTTTTCCTATTTGTCATTTCAGGACTGATGCTTTGTGGCAGAACCGGCCTACCTGTTTGTCATGATGAAAAGATGTCTGTGGAATCTCTCTTTTTCTTTCCTTTTTTTTTTCTTGGTGTTCGTCCCCTGCTGTCAAAGAAACATGCTGGACCTTTGTGAACACATCCTATTCTCAGAAGTAAATCTTTTGATGACATCAATGTCTGAGTGTTTGTTTTTCTGAGGATGCCCTCCTATCTGCTGTGGCATATCTCACCACTAGATGGCAATGTCTATTATCATTTTTGAAGAGTTGACTAAACTTTGAGCACTGAAAATACAAAAAATCTAACTTGTGTGGAAAATTAGAAAAAAAATTAGGGGGGGGCATATATATATATATATATATATATATAGAAAAAGAACAAGCTTTCTATCAAGTTTGTGGAAAGGACAAATTGTAATAATTCTATTTGAAATCACAAATTTGTTATCATTTCCATTAACAACACACATCTTTGTGAAAGTATTCAATTTGATGGGTTAAAGCTGGGGCACTCTTTGGACCATGTGGCATCAATTCATTCAAAAACCGAATCTCCTGGAGTTTTTACCTTAGTCGACTTCATTGAGAGGCTGAACGGGAGGAACAGTCTGGTTTACTTAAGATAAAAGTGGGGGGGTGAAATACAGTTCTATTGAAACATTTTCCCCTCTAGATTTTAATGCATTATTATTGAATCAGGGGTTTTCTGTGCGTCTTTTTTGTGTGAATAAGGAACTGTGGAGGACCAGCAGCAGAAGGTTGCCATGGATACGGCTATGCTCGATGGTATTCAAAATGTTGGACACCCATGATGAAAAGTCCCCTTGCTGTGAATAATTACGGAAATGTGACTGCCTGCACGTGGTGCTTCTTTACGCCTCGTTGACCAATCAAAGCGCCTCTGCTCTTCAGGGCACAGGTGTCAAACTCCGGGCCTGGAAGGCAGCTGCCCCAACACGAGGTTCACATCACAGGGTGTAGAGGGCAAATGTTCTGAATCAGAGGCGTACATTCGGGGAAATGTCTAAAACCTGTTGAATGGCCACCCTCGTGGACCGACAGCCCCTCTAATGGTACGCTCTCTGTTCCTTTCTAAAAGACACTTAAACTTTGAGTTTTTCTTCTTGGGGAGCTAGGGATCAAATCGCTAACCTTAAATAAAGCATGATCTCGTTTTCAAAAGCCCTACAGAGATCCCATGTACTTCATATTTCAAGGGAGACTTCCTCTTCAAAGCAGATTGGCTCCTTATGAACGTTCAAATGAACAAAGAGGGAATAAATCCCGAACCTTAAGGTTAATTTGCTATTAGATGAAACATTTCTTTCCCCTTCATGAGTGAAAATAATCCCTTTGTCGCTGGCTTCGACACAAGCCTGTCGTTAGGAACGCATTCTTTAAAAAAAAAAATCCGATTTAAGCATCAAAATCGACTCTTTTAAAACTTTTTTCAAAGAGTTTCATGTTCTTGAGTAATGCCCAGTGGGAAATTATAATTCTGCCGCACCAATTATTACTAAATAAAAGATAAAGACGGAGAGGAGGGTCACAAAGATTTCTTTTTTTTTTATAGCTTGTCAACAACTTGGCGCACGTTGTCACCCACAGCAGAGGCAGGTAACACAGGAAAACTATCTGCAGACAACTTGAACATGAACTCAGCCAAAAGTCTAACATCTCTCCAGCTGCCCGCACGGTCCCAAAGCTGCTCAAACATGCAGCACAGCTCTTTCCTGTAGCTATTTCCCGTTTAAAAATATTATATTCTTGCTGCGTCCTCTTCAGGGCTCCGAGCTGGTCCACTCCAGCCGCCCATTCCCACAAAAATGGGAGAGAGAAATGACTGAAACCTCCCTGAACTTCCTCTCCACTCCCCTTGCATCCCACACATCCACTCCTCCGCTCATCTGGATTTGGGGTCTGTCTCTGGGGCAGAAATGAAAGCCCTCATTACAGTTTCTATTGCAAAGATAAACTGCAATAGAGAGTGATAGAAAAGGCTTTTAAAACCCCCTTCTAAACAGTTCAGCTGCTCTCTTAGCTAGTCTGTTATGTCGGTTATTGTTTAACCTGCCAGAGGGATGGCTGAGGAAAGCGAAGTTTTTCGTAGAGCTCAGGTCATGAAACTCCTCCCCTTTAGAATTCATGACAGTGCATGTATGTTTTTATCCTTCCCTTCATCTATTTACTATAACCACCTGTTCCAAATTGGGGTTGAAGGGGAGGGGGTCTATCTAGCTGTCACTGGCTGAGAGGCGGGGTACACCTGTGACTTTTTCTGTATGTAATGAAATCAGAAAGGGTTTGTTCTATTTTTCCAGCAGCGATTACTGACTGGACAAATCTACTATGTCTCTGTGCTCATGTTGGATTATTTTTTAGAAGTTTTTCATTTTAAAACAGGGAAATTGGGCAACATGGTGGTGTGGTGGTCAGCACCATTGCCTCACAGCTAGAGGGTTCTGGGTTAAAGTCCCGGGGGAACCAGGACCTTTCTGTGTGGAGTTTGCATGTTCTCCCTGTGTCTGCGTGGGTTCTCCAGCTTCCTCCCACAGTCCAAAAACCTGCATGTTAGGTTGATTGCACATTCCAAATTGTGCCTAGGAGTGAGTGTGAGTGTGCGTGGTTGTTTGTCCTTGTGTGTCTCTGTGTGATTACTGGTTAAGGCTCCAGTCCCCCTGCACACCGCAACACGGAACAAGAGGTGGACATCAAGAAATTTATCTTAAAATGTGGTCAGGTTTTAAAAAGAATTTTATGCCATTGGCTAAAATAACAGTCTATTGAACCTAACCACTGAACTTTTCCACAGTTTTTTTTGTCAGAAATCAATGGATTTTCCTCATTCTGGCTGATCTTTCACTGAATGAGCAGTACTTTTAAAGTTTCAGTGGAGTAAAAGAGGCAAAAATGGAAATCTTCCAGTATCTATCGGGTCGATTTGTTCAGCGGTAAAATCTATAGAGTTCCTCGGCCAAATGCTCTCATGCCAGCAAGGGTCCAACGGCTCAGAGACTAGAGGAGGCGGCACTAAAACAAAAGGCTCACTCGTTTACCTGACATAAATATTCAAGCCGTGGTGATCTTGAGGACTGACAGCAGAGGAGGCTTACAACATTTAGCATTGAGGATTTCCTTCAGGTCTTCTGCATCTTTTATGGAGTTGCAGGGGTGGAAATAAAGAGTAAGAAGAAAATAGAGCGGTTTCTGAGAGGAATCAATAATAAATCAAGCATGCATCTTTCTGGGGCTGCTGAAGAGGCCCAATTTAACCCATTCATCATGGTGAAACCGGTATTTTTATTTTAATCTGTGAGTGAGTATTGAGAGCAGAAATTGGCAGATGAATCACATGAAGATCTCTCCTAAGAAATGGATCTGACCGGTGGGTGCGCACATGAGCTGAGTCCAGTCGTGTCCTCAGAGTGAAAGGTTTGTGTGTTGCAGTGTGTGTGTTTTACACTTCCTGATTTCATTTCCTTTACCCACAATAGCAGATCCCTCGTGTTATGTGGAGAAGAGCAGTAGGAAATTGTTAAAAAAAAAACTTTAATTAAAAAAACAGAGAAAGCATGTTTAAACAAAGGATGAGCTGAAAGGAACGCTGGGAAACAGATTAAAAAATGTTTTTTGACTACTAAGATGAAAAAGTTGATTTTCAAGCTGGTGCTTAAATGTTGGATTTTTATCTTTTTCCTAAACATTACTCATATAACTCCAGCATTAATAGTTCTGATGTTAGATAGAAACTCTTTCATAAAAGACTAACTTAACCACAGCTGTGTACATAGAAATAAATAAGTCCAACAAAATATGGAAAATGGCGATTGCACACAGAAAAAACATGATAAGATATTTTTTTATTCATCCCACAAAGGGGAAATTGGAATGTTACTGTGGCAGATGAAAAGCAATCCAAATAAATATTAATCCTATTCTACAGTAGTGGCAGTTACAATATATATATATATATATATATATATATATATATATATATATATTTATAGAGAGAGAGAGAGAAAAGGATAGATAGATGGATAGATGTACAGCAGGGTCTGGTTGCTTATTTTCTGTGTTCAGGAGATAATGGCGCTGTATATCTGCATGGTAGAGTCCCACCAAAATATTTGAAGAAAGATTCCTTCTGTTACAGGATTTATGATGAGTTATGCAGTACATGACATATCCGGTATTCTATATCTAAAAAGGCAAATGGTTGCCAAGCTTAGGTTTTTCCAAGCTACATCCAAACAATCCACAAGACTCCTGGAGCCACATCCTGATAACAGATTTGATCAGAATGGGGATGTGACCATATTTGTAACAACCAGACACAAAATACTTTGTCAGGAGGGTCATTTGGCCATCTTTATTGTTTTGCAGCCACAGGATTTTGACACTTTGCGGTCACCAAAGTATTCTGGAGTTAAATTAGGCCTTTTTAGGGATCTATTTCTAATGATCCAGTCAGCCAGTGCCTCCACCAGTTATAAGGAAAATAGACGACCGGATGACTGAAAATGAATTCGTCTAAAAGTCTCTTGTGGTTTTATTCTGTTAAAAACAAAATTCACCTGCGCCTGACACTATTGAAAAGATGGAAGACAGAAAGGAGAGAACGTTAACCTAGTTTGACCTAACCCTAACCACTTCATAGTTTATGGCAACCACTAAATATCAGACCAAAAATATAGATACTTTTAATCTACATTCTAATGTGGTAAAGTAACTCTTTGATGGTTCATGTTCAAATTTCAGCGATACAACCCCCAAATATTCCAAACGTCACAACATCTAAAGACATTTTGGTATCAGTAAACTCGTCTGGACGTCTCAGCGTATGGAAGCTAACAGGATCCATCCTAAAGACAGGCATGTCGGTCGATGTTTAGCCAGAGTGTCAAGCATCGGGCACCACTTCCATTTTTAAATGTATGATTCAGCAGATCATATGTTTAGATTTACCAGCTTGCATGAATACGAAAAAGGTTGCCTGCCTGCATGACAAAAAAGCTGGACAGGTTTGAATTTTAAACAAGGGGAAGAGTCAGAGTGAGGGATGAACGGAGATCGTGATGTGAAAACTTCAGGGCATGCTTAAGATGCTCTTACTTGCACCTTATTTGTCAGCTGTGACAGCTAA